CTGAAGAAGGGTCCAGACCCGAAACGTCAGTTTTCCTGCTCCTCTGATGCTGCTTGGCCTGCTGTGTTCATCTAGCTCTACACCTTGTTATCTCAGATTCTCCAGCATCAGAATACTTACAAGCAACTTATTGTATTTTGGTCTCTTCCTGTGATCCTTTGTAAGGCTAATAGGAGAAGAAAAGAGAGATGTATCAGAAGAGGAGTTAAAATTAAAAACACAATACATGCTGCTGTGCTCTCATGCCTGGGCAAATCCAAATCCTGCAGAGATTGAGGGGAGTCTTGGTCTGTTGGAATGGAAATGTTTTCAATGAAGTGAATCTTGACATACTCGTGGTGGGCTTGGGCACAGCATTTAACAGGTCTAAGTGAAGAAATTGTCAGGTGGTGGTGGCCTCAGGATTTCTTTGCAGCAAGTGCCAGAGTGGGGAAATGTAGAATTATGTCAAAAAGTCAGAAGTCACTGATGTAAAAAGGTTAACTCATTTTGTCACTGTCCTGACAGTGCTTGACCTGCTGAGTATTTCCAGTATTTTCTGTTTTAGTTTCAGGTGGCAATATTTGCAATACTTTGCTATTTTTGTTAGGAAAAGCAATTCATGGCTGAAGGAGAAGAACCAGTTTGAGGAGTTTTACTTTGTTGGATGCTGGCAGCAGTACTGGGGGACTGGAGTGATTCCTCGAAGTCAGACAAAGAAATGTGCTGTTTGATACAATCCACTAATCTACATACCTAGCATCACACTGGCACTGAAATTGATACACATTACTAATCATGTGCTGGACAGAACTTTTTTTGGTTTGAAAACAGCATCCAGCTAGTGGAGAGTATCTCCCATGTTATTACTGCACAGCAGCAGTGAGAAGTGGCTAGTTTCACCTGCTGCTCAAATGTTTGAGACACATTCCCTTTCCAGGGTAATCTGAGATGTTGTCAGGCATGTAAGTGGTGGCCTTAGGTCCATTCTTGATTTTGCACAGAGTCATTCAGCATGGAAACAGACCCTTTGATCCAACTAATACACACCGACTATGTTCCCAAACCAAACTAATCCCACTTGCCTGTGCTTGGCCCATATCCCTCCAAACCGTTCCTGTTCATGTACTTGCGGCATGGTGGCTCAGTGATTAGCACTGCTGCCTCACAGCACCAGGGACCCGGGTTTGAATCTACCCTCAGGCGACTGTCTGTGTGGAGTTTGCACATTTTCCCCGTGTCTGCGTGGGTTTCCTCCCACAGTCCAAAGATGTGCAAGTTAGGTGGACTGGCCATGCTAAATTGCCCGTGATGTTCAGGGGTGTGTAGATTTGGTGGGTTATAGGGGGATGGGTCTGGGTGTGATGCTCTGAGGATCGGTGTGGACTTGTTGGGCCGAAGGGCCTGTTTCCAAACTGTAAGGATTTTATGAATCTATAATATCTAGTTATTCAAATATCTTTTAGGTGTTTTAACTGTACCTGCATCCACCACATCCTCAGACAGTTCATTCCACATATGAACCACACTGTGTAAAAAAAAAGTTGCCTCTCATGTCCTTTTTAAACCTTTTCCTCTCACCTTAAAAATGTGTCATGAGGCATGGTTCACTCCATTAGTATCAGGGAAATAAATGGAAATTATCAGTTCTTTTAATAAAAATTATAATTCAAACAATCACTTGTTTGAAATCTATTTGCATCAGTTAATATCCCCATGTTTTACTCACCAATCTTTTACAAATGATTGAAAGTCCATCGAGAAGCCCATACTTTGAGGGAGCAGGGGAGGATCTTCCTGCAGCACCTTTGTTAAAACCTCAAAGTCCGTTTTACAATTTTTGTATGGAAACTGTCCCGTGGCGAGTTCAACCTGTAGACAGTCACAGAGCTGGATTACAGGCCAACTGCACAGAAAATTATTCAAACTCTTAACTCCCTAACTCAACCAGCAGCACCAAAATAGGACTTACAACACTCTAAATACAATTCAAAAGCAAATTCAACTGTACCAAGCTGATCTAACCAAAGAGTTACGATAGTGACAAATGCCAAATAGTGACTGCGTCACTGTAGTTAATGAGAACATTAGTGATTGCGCCAGTGCAGTTAGTGGGAACATTGGTGACTGCTCCACTGTGATTAGTGAGATTAGTGAGAACATTAGTTACTGTATCAGTGTGTTTAGGGAGAACTTTGGTGACTATACATCAGTGTGTCAATGAGATTATGTGTGACTATGTCACTACAGTTAGTGACAATAATATAGTGACAGTGTCACTGCAGTGAGTGAGATGAGTCGCTTCACCTTTACACAGTATTTTTTAATTCACTCATGGGATGTGGGCTTCGCTGGCTAGCTAGCATTTATTGCCCATTCCTAATTGCCCTTGAGAAGGTGGTGGTGAGTTGCCTTTTTGAATCGCTACAGTCCGTGTGCTGTGGGTAGACCCACAATGCCATTAGGGAGAGAGTTCCATTATTTAGACCCAGCGATACTGAAGAAACAGTGATATATTTCAAAGTCAGGATGGTGAGTGGCTTGGAGGATAATTTGCAGGTTGTGGTTTTCCCATGTGTCTGCTGCCCTTGTCCTTCAAGATGGAAGTAGCTGTGGGTCTGGAAGATGCATTCTAAGGAGCTCTGGTGAATTTCTGCAGTGCATCTTGTAGATAGTACACACTACTGCTACTAAGCATCGGCGGCGAAGGGACTGGATGCTTCTGGATGTGGTGCTAATCAATTGGGCTACTTTGTCCTGAATGATGGCAAGCTTCTTGTTGGAGCTGCATTTATTGAGGCTGGTAGGAAGAATTCCATCAAACTCCTAACTTGTGCCTTGAAGATAGTGGACAGACTTTCGGGAGTCAGGAAGTGAGTTAAACGTCGCAGTATTCCTAACCTTTGACCTGCTCTTGTAGCCATTATATTTATATGACAGGTCACATTCGGTTACTGGTCAATGATAACCCTAGGATAGTAATAGTGGGGGAATCAGTGATGGTAACACTATCGAATGTCAAGGGACAGTGGTTACACTGTCTCTATTGAAGATGGTCAGAGCCTGGCATTTGTGTGGCAAGATTGTTACTTGCAACTTGTCAGTCCAAGCCTGGATATTGTCCAGATCTTGTTGTATTTGAACATGGCCTGTTTCAGTATTTGATGAGTCATGAATGGTGCTGAACATTGTGCTATCATTGATGAACATCCCCACTTCTGACCTAATGATGGAAGGAAGGTCATTGATGAAGATAGTTGGGCCTAGCTCACTACCCTGAGGAAATCATTTGCCTTTTATTGGCAGAGGAATTGAGTTTAAGAGCTGCGAGGTTATGTTGCAGCTCTATAAAACCTTGGTTAGACCACACTTGGAACATTGTGTTCAGTTCTGGTCGCCTCATTATAGGAAGGGTGCTCTAGAGAGGGTGCAGAGGAGATTTACCAGGAGGCTGCCTGGACTGGAGGGCAGGTCTTATGAGGAAACATTGAGGGAGCTAGGGCTTTTTTCATTGGAGCGAAGAAGGAGGAGAGGTGACTTGATAGAGGCGTACTTGATGAGAGGCATAGATACAGTGGATAGCCAGAGACTTTTTCCCAGGGCGGAAATGACTATTATGAAGGGACATAATTTTAAGGTGATTGGAGGAACGTATAGAGGAGATGTCAGAGGTTCTTCACACAGAGTGGTGGGTGTGTGGAATACGCTGCCGGCAGTGGTAATGGAGTCAGATACTTTAGAGACTTTTAAGCGACTCTTGGATAGGCACACGGATGATAGCATAATGTAGGGTATGCAGGGTAGTTTGATCTTAGTAGGAAAATAGGTCGGCACAACATCGTGGGCCGAAGGGCCTGTACTGTGTTGTATTGTTCTATGTTCCATGATAGAGATATCCTGGCACTTGGATGATTGACCTGCAACAACTACAACTATCTTCCTATGTGCCAGGTAGGACTCCAACCAGCAGACAGTTTGCCTCTGATTCATGATGATTCCAGTTTTGCATGGGCTCCTTGGTGCCACACACAGTCAAATGCTGCTTTGATGTCATGGCCTGTCAATCACACCCCATTACTGGAATTTAACTCTTTTGGCCATGCTTGAACCAAGGCTGTAATAAGACCAGGAGCTGAGTGGCCCTGGCTGAAGCCTAACAGGGCATCACTGAGCAGGTTATTGCTAAGCAGGTGCTGCTTGACGGCAGTTTTGATGACACATTCCATCACCTTACTGATGATCGAGAGTAGATTGATGGGGTGGTAATTGGCTAGGTTGGATTTGCTCCGCTTTTTGTATACAGCACATACCTGGGCAAGTTTCCATATTGTTAGGTAGATGCCAGTGTTATAACTACTGGGACAGCTTGGCTAGGGTATGACAAGTTCTGGAGCACAAGTCTTCAGTACCTTTGCTGGAATGTTGTCAGGGCCTATAGCCTTTGCAGTATCCAATGCCTCTAACCATCTCTTGATATCACATAAGTGAACTGAATTGGTCGAAGAGTGGCATCTGTGATGCTGGGGGCCACTGGAGGAGGGTGAGATGGATCATCTACTTGGCACTTCTACCTGAAGGTTTCAGTGTATGTTTCTGCCTCAACTTTTCCACTGATGTGCTAGATTCTTTCACCATTGAGGTTGAATGTCATTAACGTGAGTATCAGTGAGTGCACCCGAACACCATTGTTACAGTGGGAATCTTAGTACTGCTGTCATCCTCTGAAGAATTTGGTGTCCCAACAAAGATGTTTCAGCACTAAAAGCTCTTTGCTTACCAGTGAAATGCCAAGACTCCATACATCCGCTCTGATATCATAGTCAGGTTTGGTGGGATCAGGGGGATCTATCCGTTCAGGCTGTGGATAAAAAGGGAACAAAGAACTCAAAATATGAAAAGATAGTCGTCTGGATGTTGTCATATTCCAAGATCCTCACTATGAATCCATACAGCCCACAAGTCTCTATGCACAAAATCCACCATCCTCCTCATCTTGACCCTGTACTTCCATTCTTGTTCTAATGCTGTTTAGACTCTCCACTCCAACCTATGACATGGCTTATCCCTAAAACATTGGTAATGTGGAGGTACGCCTGTAACTATGAGAAATCATCAGTACTCTATGGAATATTCCCCTTCTGCACTGCATGATGCAGTGATATCCTGCTCCTCATCAATGCAAGACAGACAGATATTCCCTCCTGGTGTAGTGCAAAATACATACACATTTTTTTTCTGAAGAAGGGTCCAGACCCGAATCACCAGCTTTCCTGCTCCCCTGATGCTGCCTGGCCTGCTGTGCTCATCCAGCTCCACATCTTGTTATAACATATACATTACCCCTCTCCACAATGCAAGATACAGACATTACCTCTGTCACTGCAAGATACACAGGCATTCCCTCCCCCGACACAACTCAAGATATACATTCCCACCTATATTTGTTTCATCCACAAACTTGGCAATAGTACATTCACTTCAGTCATCCAAGTCATTAATATATAGTAAGTAATAGTGGTTGTTGAGGTTGGTTGGCTTGCCGAGCCGGTTTGTTGTTCCGCAGCCATTTCGTTACAGTACTTGGTAACATCCTCAGTGCAGCCTCTGATGAAGCATCGGTGTGTTTTCCCGCCTGGTTTTTAAACTCTGGGGTCCGTTGTGATGGATTGCCTCACTTCCGGGTTTCCTCCGTAGTGGAATGTATATG